GTGGGCTGGGGCGGGTCTGTATGGGGGACCCGAACCCTCGGACGGGAGCGCCAGCCGCGCTTCCCAAGCGGCGCACTATCCAGTGCGCCACCGGGCCGGCCCAACAGTCTTTTTTAACGTATGTCATTAAGTTGTCTTTCTGTTCCCTGCCATGTGCATTGTCAGTAGTGACCCCAGACCACTGAACAGTCCTTTATTCATCTTCAGCACCATGATGATGAACCTGTGTTTCTTCGACTCTTCTGTGGTTTTAAGGTTGTGTATTTTTCTGCTGATGAGACATTCTCTAATCTTTTTGGATCTCATCGTTAGGTAATTCAGTGACAAATTTAACTGGGGAAAAGGGAGAAAGATTTATTTCCCTGAGTTTGCTTGATTTTGCTAATATCCCAGTTGTCATCTGGAGAATGTTTGAGTTTTTGTACTTAAGAAATGTTGACTTCAGGTATTTAACAAGTGCCAAATACCTATTTTTAGTGGCTTAATGGGGCATAAATGGTAGGAACAGAGCCAGATGAAAGGTGACTTTATTTTCTATAGACAGGCAGGACTCTGGATTGCCATGAACAGTTTTATAAAATTATTCTGAAACAACAGATCCTATTCAGGCTTTCTTTTTTTTTTTTCAAACTTCCTTTTGGCAGATGTGGCCTCATGGATGAGCTGGTACATGACTTAGCCTCAGCCTTGGAGCAGACATCTGAGCAGAATAAGCTTGGTGAGCTGTGGGAGGAGATGGCCCTGAGCCCTCGGCAGCAGAGGCGGCAGCTTCGGAAACGCCGAGGCCGGAAGCGTCGTTCAGACTTTACTCACCTGGCAGAGCATACCTGCTGCTACAGCGAGGCCTCTGAGTCAAGTCTGGATGAGGCCATTAAGGACTGTCGAGAAGTGGCCCCAGTCACCAATTTTAGTGACTCAGATGACACAATGGTAGCCAAACGGCACCCAGCTCTCAATGCCATTGTTAAGAGTAAGCAACATTCTTGGCATGAATCTGACTCCTTTACTGAAAATGCACCTTGTCGACCACTCAGGCGCCGGCGGAAGGTAAAGCGAGTGACATCAGAGGTGGCTGCCAGCCTTCAGCAGAAGCTGAAGGTGTCAGATTGGAGCTATGAGAGAGGCTGCAGGTTCAAGTCTGCTAAGAAGCAACGTCTGTCCCGCTGGAAGGAGAATACTCCCTGGACCTCATCAGGCCATGGGTTGTGTGAATCAGCAGAAAATAGGACTTTCCTAAGCAAATCGGGGAGGAAAGAAAGGATGGAGTGTGAAGCAGATGAACAAAAACAGGGCTCTGATGAGAACATGTCAGAATGGTGAGATCTCCCTTCCTAAGTCAAAGATTTTCCTGGTTAATTTTACCCAAAGTGCAAAATCCACAGTCTTGATGAGTTATACTTTCTTTCAAACCAGCCACACTAGTCTTGACTTTGTAGCCTTCCTTTACTCAATTAGTAGTTTATCTCTAACTTTTAAAAGTACCATTCATGGGGCTGGCCCGGCGGCGCACTGGAGAGTGCGCTGCTTGGGAGTGCGGCGGCGCTCCCGCCGAGGGTTCGGATCCCATGTGGAGACCGGTTCCCGCTCACTGGCTGAGCGTGGTGCGGGCACAACACCGAGGGTTGCGATCCCGTTGCCGGTCCCCGGTACGGGCGCGACACCGAGGATTGCGATCCCGTTACCGGTCAGTAAAAAAGACAAAAAGGAAAAAAAAAAAGTACCATTCATGAATCTATTTCCCTATGTCAGAAAGGCTATATGTAATAGAAGCACATTTGTTTCTAAAAGTTGTTTAAAATTTGTACATCAAATGCATAACCAAGAATTTTATTTTAAAAAGCAATTTGCAGTTGTTTCTGCCATGTAGTTCATACATAGATACTGTTCTTTAGAACCAGGTTCTCAGCAGAGGCTGGTGTATATGAGTACAGTTGGCTTTCTGTATCTGTACTATGCCATTTTTATATAAGGAACTTGAGCCTCCACAGATTTTGGTATCTGCAGGGGGTCCTGGAACTAATCTTCCACCCTTACGGAGGGCCTGCTGTATATGTGTGTGTGAGAAAATGCAGGTGCCAGGTATATGGAGTTTGTAAATGTTCCTGTAAGCTGTCTTTCCCCATTAAGAATCATAGCTTTAGATACTTTTGGGATATAATTCTGTTACAATTTGACTATACTGACTTTATTTTTTATGGCTGACATTCAAGTTGTCTGAACACATGGTGGGCTTTGAAAATAACAGTACTGAGTCCCATTAGTCTTTTACTAAATATGATCAAGCCAGAAAAATTTGTCTGTAATGAGTGCATGTGTATTATCAGTGTAGTTTTCAGTAACTTTTTATTTTTTACATCGCAGATAGTCCTAGGAACATTGATACCCCCCAGCTCGATACTTAATCTGTGGTATCTGTTTCTTAATGAGGATGCCATTGGTGTTGTGGATGGGACAAATTCTTGGTGATGCATTGCAGGATGTTTATCATCTCTACATTGTTCCCACTCCTTTTCACTGTATCAAGCCAAATGCTGCCACTGGTGCTCCCTAGTGAACTGAGTACTCCCGGTTGAGAACCATTGTATTCTATTATTGTTAATATTAATTAGCATTTATTAAGCACTGACTGCCAGGCACTGTACTATACTTAATATATATTCTTATTTAATGTTCATGATTCCACTGTGTGGTAGTTACCACTATTGGTATTTTATAGAAGAGGAAAGTAAGGTTAATAGAGTTTAGTTAATTTGCCTAAGGTCACTCAGTGCCAAAACTGGGAATCAAACCTGATTCCAAAGCTCATTCTTAACCACCATGTTTTGCTGCCATTTGAGCTTGTCTTTTCCATGACCCTTTTCTGTCTCAACTTAACTTTTACAACTGTAGAACATATGACCTTTCTTAGGACTTTGCTTCTTCTGAAGTTTGTCTTAAAAGCAAAGACATAAATCTTAGGAACTCTGAGGTGAGACTGTGTCAGTAATGGGAGAAACTGTTTAGGTCTGTATGCCTGTATCTTCTCAGGGATGGTTTTTAATCTAGCTTTTCAACTTTTTCTTACTAACTTTGTATTTGCCAGTCTGCTCAGTTATATTGAGGTAGACTCATAATTTGCCTTTCCTAATTTTCCTCTAAAGTCTAGTTCTTTCCAAGGCCTTTTTACCCAATTTATATGCTTTTGGATTATAAAGGTATTTTTTCCTCATCATGTTATTTTTAATCAAATGAGAAATGCTTCGTCAACTTGAAGCCTTTCAAAGCCAAGGCCTTTTTACCCAATTTATATGCTTTTGGATTATAAAGGTATTTTTTCCTCATCATGCTATTTTTAATCAAATGAGAAATGCTTCGTCAACTTGAAGCCTTTCAAAACATTGAAACCCTCTATTGAGTCATTCAAGTTTGTTTTAATATTGAGCACACATAGTAAACAATAATTTTCTTACTGTTAAGAATAGTGATTTAAAAAATAGCTTTTTGGGATGATAGCTTGTGTATGCTTCTTTCCCAGCATTTCTTGTTAAACTATGACATGATTGTGTGTGAGAGAGACTATTAACACTCTCTCCTCTAAAATCGCTCAAGTATGGCTCTAAATGCAGAGCCTATAATCTAGCGGTGAGGTGCTTCAGTCTTCCTGCTCCTTCTTACCCCAGATACATCTATTGCACATTATAATCAGGCTGTGATCATATATATTCTAATTATCTAACAGTCTGAATAAATTGAGGTAGAGAGGAGTTCTTATTAAATTCTTACTCTTTTCAAATTGAGAACTTGTTCCCCATTTGGGACTTCAATCCCTGGTCTGTGACTTCAGAGTTCTTTCAGTAATGCCAAACTCCTTGTAGCTATGAAGGAATAATGGGTGGAGTAATAGCATACCTGGAATGAGAAAAATTATTCTTCAAGATTTTCTAATTATGTAGGCATCCTAAATTCTCCTTGACTTGTCCTGAATCAACTGTAATTACAAACAGAAGTGTTTGGGTTTTTTTTTTTTTTTTTTTTTTTTTTTTTTTTTTTTTGTCTTTTTTCGTGTCCGGCAATGGATCGCAACCCTCAGTGTCGCGCCCGTACCGGCCGGGGCCCGGCAACGGGATCGCAACACCCGGCGCTGCACCCGCACCTCGCTCAGCCAGTGAGCGGGAACCGGTCTGTATGTGGGATCCGAACCCTCGGAGGGAGCGCCGCCACGCTTCCCAAGTGGCGCACTGTAGCAGTGTGCCACCGGGCCGGCCCTTTCCTTTTTGTCTTTTTTTACTGACTGGTAACGGGATCGCAACCCTCGGTGTTGCGCCCGTACCGGACCGGGACCGGCAACGGGATCACAACCCTTGGTGTTGCACCCGCACCTCGCTCAGCCAGTGAGCGGCCGGTCTGTATGTGGGATCCGAACCCTCGG